CATTGACGTTTTATTCTTTTTAATTGGATTTTCAGCTTTTTTTATTGTTTTTTAATTTTCTGCTTGCACTGGAGTATATGGCATGAAATGTGCGTTTATTTGGTAGCACTAATGGCTTTGTTGCACAACCGGCAAATCTGTGAATGCTCCCTCTAATGGCCGTCCTTCCTTCTTCTTTTTTTAAAAAAAAAAATCTTCTTTTGTAGTCAAAGAGAAGTGCTCAAGTAATTTGGATCCGTCGATGATACCGAGGCTCCTATTTGAGCAACTTTTTTTTTTCGTCAGTGAAGGAATTTGCTCAAATAGTTGCTTACCTTTACCCAAGTAGTCAGCTGCCGTAAAAAGAGGGTTCGATTTCTTCTCTTCAGTTATCGTCGCGTGGGAACAAATAATAATAACTCGTGTATGGACGAGGCTGGGTCTGCTTGAGAAGTGATGGACCGTCAGCACTCGAGTCCAACAAAGAGCAGCAGTAAAGCCAAAGTGGTCTAACAGGAGCGCACACCACACAGGACAAGAATTCAGAGTTGACACGGGGGAAATTCAAGCCCTCAGAAACATCGAAAACAGCCAGCAACCGAATATCAAGACAGATTCAACAATCACGGAATGGACATGCCAGAGCTGAGCCCCCAAAGGAGGAGCGAGGGGCATGCTGACAAACTCCATCAGATATATATTAAAGCCTAGGACGGTGACATCAATCATAAGAGTCTCTCTCACAGGTGATGACGGTGCTGACGATGATACTTGTCCCTAAACATACGGACGGACGGACGGACGGATTATGTTCACCGGAAGAGCTAGGCCGGAGGGCCATATGTACATAAACTACTTACACAAAAACAAACAATCAGGTTTCCCCTCTCGCCCGGGCATCGGACCGACGAGGGCAGGAGGAGTTATAGCTAGGCAAGCCTAGAATCGCATCGCCTCCATGGCCAAAATTATTGCTACCATTTTGGCTCGGCTCGGCTGGCGGCCACCGCTTATAGCCTCAGCGTGGTGTCCGCCGGCGGCCCTCTAGAGGTGGTGCTGGAGGCGGATGCGGCCGACTTCTTCGCCTTCTCTGACAGGAACTTGCTGCAGTCCGCTCCCTTCACCGTGAACTCCATCAGCAGCTCCTCAAACAGCCTCTTGAGCGAGGTCTTGAACTTGAGCGAGCAGCTCTTGTCCCCCTCGTCCACGTCCTGCACCCCGTTACCGGCCAGGCACCCGACCTGGGCGCCGTCCAGGTAGGCCTTGCAGGCCACCAGGACGTTGCGCCCATGCTTGCGGAAATGGCCGGCCACGAAATCCTCAAAATGCTGCGCAAAAGATGCACCCCACATTAGAGTTGCAGGATTCGGGGCAGTATATCTATGAACAGATACACAGAAGAGGTTTCAGCATAACAGGTTTTCATAAATAAGATGACAGGGTTGCAGGATTCGAAGGTGGTACATGAACATGACAGCATCTTCAACATAAAAGGTGCTATTGATAAACAAGATACTAGATGTCAACGGATCTATCAGAATACATTCTGGTTATCAACTAGACAGGGTTGCATTGGCTCCCCAAAAGCAGTACTGTTATCAAAGTAGTTGCTTCTTTTGCGGCAACAAGGATAAGCACAAGCACATCCATACCTTTGGTGGATTTCGAAGAGAATACAACATCGTCCTGCAGGACAGCAGGAAGGTGTCTTCATTGTAAGTTAGGGATCTCTTCTCCCCGCCAGGTGTGTTAGCTGAATTAGCATACCCAGGCTCATTGAAATAAGGTTTGGCGTTCAAAACCAGAGCCTGAATGGAGACAAGGACCTGCAGCATGGTTGAATTGGATGGATTCCATTTCTCACATCCACTACCAGCCCAGGTGTTTAACAGGCTAAGGCACACCTTCCCACAATTATACAGGTTTGGATTAAGCCGCAGCCCACCAGAGCGGTAGTTAACAAGCTGCAAAGAATTTAACTCATTACTATAAAATGTGACCAAGGGCAAACTAATAAAAGAAAAACAGTCATTAATGGAGATAAAGTCCATAAAGTCTTACTGGAGGTATGTTTGGATATTGAGGAGGGAAGTAAATGTCGAAGAAAAAGAGCCCATCATGGTAAGGAGTGCCTGCTGGACCCATAATGACAGCTCTAAGAAGGTCCATTCTATCCTCGTATGCCCTCACGAATATGGTATCTATTAAATTGGGAGAAAAGCAAAAACATAATCATAAAATGCCCTTTACAGTGTATCCCGACAAAAAATGTGCATTTCATCACAAGGAAATATTTGAGCTAATGACAGCAAGATACTGATTGGGAAAATTAGTACCAAGAAGAAGTTTATTATAGAAAAAAGGTCACAAGAAGCAAGAGCTGGCTACCTGGCAAGTCTTTCTCTAAGACTTTCCACTCATGCTGAATGCGCTTCGCCCAGTCTTTTGATGGCTGTTAATAGGACAAGTTAGTACCAATATAAGATGGCAAAGGATGAAGAGGGCATGTCATAACCATTACCTTCTTCACTACCAGAGCTCTCCTTAACTCTGGTTTCACATAGTAATGATCACTATGGCCATCAACAGTATCAAATTGCTTAAATGTGTTGTATCTTTCATCAACTTTATCGTCCAAGATTGGGATGGGTTTGGAATTACTCGACATCTCAGCGGCAGTCTTCTGCAGCCATGGTAAAGGAGCCTCCACTCCAGGCGGGATATCCAAGCCATCCAACTGGGCAGATAAATTATAGTTATATTCATTCTCATAAAGTGTATCATCAAACTCATAGTTTTCATAGTCATCTTCCTCATAAGCAAAGTCTTCATCTTCCTCGAATGCGTCGAAAGGGTAGTCATCATAATCATGGTAAACTGCGGTTTCCATATATTTTTTAGCAAAAGCATCCTTCATGGCAGTACTGCTTGAAAAATAGGTGTTTGGTCCAGAGGTAACTTTTTTGACATCACCCATAATGGTAGTACTGTTTGAAGCATAGGTGCTCGGTCCGGCGCTAACTTTCTTAAAACCACCCATAATGGCAGTACTGTTTGAAGCATAGGTGCTTGGTCCGGCAGTGTCACCAGCCACACTAGTCTGAAATTGTTCACAGAGAAAGCATCAATCAGAGAGGAGAAGGCAAACAAATAATATGGAAAGGTAAAGACATGAGAGGGTTTACCTTCACATGCTTTGGCCAAACAAGGGGACATCCAACTGAATGTTTATTCTTTTCAACTGGTGCTTTCTCACCAATAATCACAACACCATCAGGATCATCATCAATTTCAATTATTTCGCGAGAAACAACCTATTAATTCCCATTGCAGAAAAACAGTATTAATCCCATGTCGGCAAATTTTAAACACGCCATTATAACCCAATAGAATTTTGTTGGAAAATTGTTATATGGAAAGTCACAAACATAGTTGATCCTATATATGGAAACAATGGGCTAGCTAGGTTTATATAATACACATAATAAATACAGAAGAAGAACAATGGCAGATGTCATGCAACTATGAACCAGCCAGAATTGTTTATGCAATTATAGTTAAGAATGTTGGAAAAAACGCTATGCGTAAGCAAGGTGGTTGGCCTTCGCCTAGTGCCTAGGCGGCGCCTAAGCACCCGAGGCATATAGACATTAATTTAGAGCGTGAAAATGGGTAAACTACCAACTACCCTCCATTTAAATATGGCATATTGGCCCATTTGGCCCGTCACTATGACATGGAATGAATTCTCACTCATATGGAGAACTTTTTGCTTGCCCCACCTAGACTTGTGCTTATGCCCTATGCGAGGCGTTTTGCCATCGCCTAGCACCTAAGCACAACCTAGGCGTCGCCTTTTCCAACAGAGATAAGATTCTGTCATCAATAACACCATTTCATGCAACATGGTAGAAACACATAAGGTGCTCACAAGCTGTAAGGTTACCAAGTCAAATGCCCTGAAAGAGTAGTATGTCAAAGCAATAGCATTTCATAAGAATTACAACAATATGATTGTATGAGTATGACAGAGCAAGGTCATAGTGGTATTATTTAGTGTCAAGACCAATGGAACAGGATACAAAGGTCAACAACAGAAGATGCGCAAAGTGCGAACATGATCCAAATAGCTAACAACTATTTACACAAAGAGAGAACGAAGGGAGACAATCCTGCAGCTGTGAAGTGCACCTCAGGTGTGCACAAAGAGATCAAAGAATTAAGAAGCACTTGGGATAATTAACAGTGAATGATGTTCCAGCCT